AAGCGATTAGTATCCTAGATATTCTGCCCCAAAGTGAAGAAAAATGGTAAGAGATATGAGCGGCGCTGCCAAAAATTGTAAGAAGACTCCTGCACTTCTCAGTTTAGTTTTGAGGGTTTGCCAGGAGCATTACAAGTATCAGTAGGAGAAATACGGGGACTAAGAGCCGCTGCGGGGCAACTCAGCTTGCCAAAAATACAAGTACAGCCTAATTGCTATATGTCTTATAAAATGACCCCACCTGTGTTGTTTACTGCAAACCGCCTTTCGGTGTTCTTACTTGTGTAGTTATCATCAGCCCAGATCGCAATCTGGAGGGCATTTCGCTCCTCAGTTTTCCAAGTGTATCGACAAACGTCTGAGATCATATCGCACTCGAATGTTAGCCCTAGTAGTCGTCGCTAGCGTTCTTGCAACCACGCATTTAATTTTCGAAAGAAAATTCGATCTTTACGCCTGGAGATTCCACGCCCAAGTGAACTGATAGCCGACTGACCACGCCAACAGGCTAGCAATGCTCGATTAATACTCACGTCTGTTTAATGGTGATTCAGATGAACGTTCTATCTATAAGAACTAACCGATCAAAATGCTTACTATAATGGAGCTGTACTTTGCAGGGTTTATTCCCCTCCGCCCAATTTAAGAGTGGAACAGTTAATCATCTATATCACCTTCGCTTGCGAATGTATTGATAGTAGCCTTGCAGGATTTATATAGAGGACAGATTGCCGAAACTAGCATTTCCTAGTCTTTCAACAGAACTATCACCCTTCCCGAGATTTGAAAACTGAAACTCATCACTCAACCTTGTTCGTAATGTAAGCACTCTTTATGCAGGATACGGATCGCAGCCCCCTAGTTTGATTGTACCGATACTTACTCCACGCACTTAATTCATGATTCTGTACAAGGAGATTTCGTCAGGTAGAAGCCACGTGTGGGAAAACAGATGGGTTCGACAAGCCAGCTTTCTCCATTGGTTGACGATAGCGTGTAGGCACTTGAATTAATGAAAGTCATAGGCTTCCATAAACTTAACTGCAGGAAGACAGAATGTACCGCAGCTAATTACACGCCAGTATACTGTTAGGCTGTTACTTTGATTTTTCGAAATAATACGGATGATTGGAAGGCCAATTTATCCAATATGGGGAGACTTTAAAGACTTCTACCTCGATAAGCGACAATACTTAAGATATTCCGCCTCCATCAGGGTTGCGAATTAAGTCACCTTGCCACCTGTTTGCATAACTTAGTTTAAGCCAGCGTTATAATAGCATCGGTAGAGGCTGTAAGTGCAAACTAACTTGGGACTGTTGAGGGACATCTCGATAGCCGAAAAATTGCAACCTACGTAGATAATCCGTTTTTTTCTACATGAACGTATTTTGTAGCGCTCTACTTCCTTAATACAACTGTTTAAGAGGGCCTTAAGTTAAAAGCGATAACACTGCATTCATAGAATGCGCGAGTAATATGATTCCCAGGTGAACTATAAAATTGTCACGACCAGTGAGAGACATATATGAAGAGGAACCAACAAAGATAATGGTAACCGGAATGGCCATTTCTGGATTATTAGCCGTCATCAGCCAGTCATACCCAGTCCTAGGTGTGGATCATCCGCGATTCGAACCCGACAATTTTATCGCGGAGGACAAAACCTTACCATTGTACCACTGGATCGTTGCTTTTGCCGAGATCTCTATAGTGAGCAGCAGGACACAACGGGACGAACATACACCGTAACTAGATCAGTGAGCGTCCTACCTCCATTTCGGTTAATAAATAACAAGGCTTTGGATTCGAGTTGCGGTGGTCGCCACCCTTGGACTTGAATGTGGCTGACTGATGATGGCTAGCTAGCCGGAAATGGTTATTACAATCT